CACAGGGGTCCACGCGCAGAGAGGGAGGGCGGGAGTCCCGCCTGTGTGTGTGTGCAGTGTGTGTGCAGTGTGTGCCACAACTAATTGTGCGGCACGTCCGTTCATTCATGGACCACCAGGCCTGCATGAGTGCAATCGCCCATACCCTCGGTCGGTCGGTCATGTGCACAGACAGACAGGATGCAATTAGTGCATGAGACGGCTCCAGTAAGTAGAGTACTCAATCTTCATTCGCTTCGCCAGACCACCTCATGCAATCCAGTCCATCGTTGTGTGGCACGGCAGACCCACAAAGCCAGCGCTGCCACCCCTCAACCTCGCACAGCCAGACCGGAGAAGGAAACCTCACTCACTCACGAGCGGCACCCGAGTGACTCACGCGTGTCCACCCCCGTCTTGGGATGGCTACCCTACAATTGACAGACAGACAGACAGACAGACCCACACACACAGAGGCAACGTTGACGTACACGTGCTGAGCTTTGCGGCCGAGCGCACCGCACCGCACCTTGAGTGTGGGGTTTTTGCACAGCGACCGCTGCTCGAAATCGCCTATCACCACATCGCTGAAGTCGGTGTTCTCCACATTCGCCTGGGAGAGAGCCGTATAGACACGCAAGCATTAGTGAACAGCAGAAGAGAATGATTAAGAGCCCTGGGAATCTCAGTGTGGGCGGCCTGCGTGTGAGTGCAGTGCGCCGTACGTCCTCGAAAGTGCTGCCCGAGAGAACTGCGGCTGCAAAGTTGACATTGCGAAGGTCGGAGCGCTTGAAGGTGACGCGGTCGACCACAGCTGCCTTGAAGTTGGCGCCGTCGAATCGAGAGTCCTGCCACACACACACACACACCACGCACACATGAGGGAGGGATGGATGGGTGCCACAGGGCCGAGCAGTAACCACTCGTGTGTGTACACGTGCGTACCTCCATGAATGCCTGCAGGCGGGGTAATGAAGACATGCAAGGGCAGAAAAGAGAATACACAGACAAATCCATGGTGTGTGCGGCGCGCCCGGTCGCTT